GCCCACAGAGCTTCTGTATGGGTTTCTCTTGGTTGGAAATAGCATTTAATTTAGCAGCATCAGTAGCAACAGCAGGATTCCTTGAAGGAAATGAAAAAAATACATATTTTGATACAGTAGACAGGCCTGGATGGGTGCTTTACCCAAAGCATCTGGCATCACTTCACATGCCAGGCAGAAGGGTAATGGAGTCTCTATTAAATAGTGTGTCTGTTTGTGTGGGAAGGCTATTAGAGATCTAATCTAACATAACACATGTTCAGGATGCTGACCTGTACTGGTCTACCTGTGAGATTATTCCTTTGGCAATCCATTTTAAGCAAGTGCTTAAGATGGGGCTTGATGATGAAAGAAATACAGATCTATTCTGTACTATACCACCACTATACCGCCTTCTGCCTGCAGTGTGAGCAGGATCACATCCTACTTTCCTCCCTAAATCCTAACAATTCATTAATCCTTGCAACAAAACAATTTTGTAACGTAAAATCTAAAACTCACTTGTTAACAGAAGAACCCATCATCATACACCTCAGCCTTACTCCACCGTCTCCTTCAGCATATTTTCCCTCAACACATCAGTCTACCCCCTATCCAAATTCCAATCCACTCAGTGCTTGGAAGACTAACAAATCCAGACGCTGTACAAATGCATCCTGGCTGGAGAAGATACACAAATAAACTCCATTCTCCATTTGACTTAATAGAAGAGAGACATCTCTGTCAATGGCAGCCTAGGTCAACTACATCCGGACTAAAACTTGTACAAAACATAGAGGAGGCTGTCAAAACAAATTAAAAGCACTAAAAGTAGAGGGCTATAAGCCAGCTCTTTTTTGGTCCCAATTCTTTGTCAGGGAATAATAATAATAAAAAAATCCTAATGTAATTTCCAGCAGGAGTACACTCCTTTAATGCAATTTGGATTGGCTGCCTTGTTCAGATGCAACATTTCCACTGCTGAACTGGCTTGGGTCCATTCTCTTAACTGTCTCAGTAATTACAAATGCAATCAGAACATACCACCAGACTTTCGCTCTGGCCTATTAGAACTTGGAGTGATTCCAGTTTTCAATATATAAATGAGAAGAGGAGGCCTAGTTCACAGCAGAGGGCACATCTTTAGGATATAACTGAATGCATTAATATATTAGTTTTGGAAGAAGGAAAGAACAAGATATACAAAAAAAGTCTTATTTGGGGCTTCTCCCCCCCCAATTTAAGTCATCTGGTCTGGCTGTGCTCAGTCTGTTTATAATTTATGTAGTCCCTAATGGCCTAAGTAGACACCAGCTATTCAGGATTATTGATAATAATTTTACATTCTACAGTTATCTCCTTCACTTCAGTTTCCTGCCAGCACCCTAAACTGCCTAGAGCAGAGAGTTCAGTAACTTGTTGCTCTGTGTCTTACAAATAATAGAACAGTTTACAGGGGAATAGACAACTGCTTTTCAGGCTATGACTCAACAAAGTGTAGCCATCTCCACTGTAAGGATGACAGCATCCTAAGGACAATGCAGAGAAGAGCACCTTCAAAACTGAGAGGACCAACTAAAGGATGCAGAAAAGATGAGCAGGACTTTATAATTAAGGTCAGAACATGAAGCAGGGAAGCTGATAGGCATCACCAACAGACTTTCTTATTGGAAGGACTTGGCTCTGCTGTAAAGACCACTTCTTCTTTAACTCAAGTTTGGGTAACTGCCAACAAAATTTGAATATGTACAATATTACCTCATGGTGAGAAAGTGTTTAGCATATTGCAGAAGGAGCTTGATGCTCAGCTTCTACCATTACTAATTAGAATGCATGCTGCTTGGAAGAACCTCTTACAGGAGATGCATCACATACACTTGAGAAATACCAGGAAGAAAACAAAGCACGTGCCTACTTATTCAGCATACCCTTCACCATATTAGTGTAATGTCTCCGGTAGTGTCCTGTCAGAATTAGAGCGTAGCACTGCACAGGCTAAATTGTAACTTTCAAATGACTGACTTAAGGCTGCTGTCAAAGTTTTAGCTGTAATATTGTGTAAAGGATTTATGTAGGTACTTTCAGGGACCTCAGTATTGCATTGGGACCCCAATGCATGGCACTGTGCTCCTTCAACATGCCTCACTTTGGTTACATATAGGCCATATTTAGATGACACTGCTATAGCCTACCTCTTGCCAGGGCCAGCCCATCCTATCCTGCAGCTGCAGGCAGCCCCACAGCCAAGGGGCTGTGCCCCGCTCGCCCCCCACCGCCTGCACCATGCTTAAAGGGCTCGATGCAGGCAGGGAGCCCCTTCCTGACCGAGTGGGGGAGGAGTTCCCGGCTCCACTCCCGCCTCAGCCCCAGCAATTTTGATTTGTTGATGAATCAGGGGCATCCAAAACTACATCTTGCAGGGGGCCCCCAAAATTGCGGGCCGGCCCTGCCTCTTCAGCTTCTACTAACATGGAGGTTAGGTAGGTGCTCTTCTTCCACAGGGTTTAAAATATCAAGGAAATGTACACAAACACACAGATCTAACTAAAAGGTGATCATTTATTAATTCCTCTGCTTAAAAAAATAAATAATAAAGAAGACTGATAATCTAATCAGTGGGCTGGACTACAAACAATATTGGTCTCATCTCACAGCAGCATAAACAATGCAGGTAAGAGATAGCCATAGCAAGTAAATGAACTGCCTTTATTAGTTTTTTCACTGGTGATTTCCAGTATTGCCATGAGCATGCAGAATGAAAGCAAAGTCTTCTACACATGTGGGGAAAGTGTATATATCAGCTGGTTGTGTTAATGTATTATCACCTTTAGAGAAGTAACTGTATATATGACTACCATTGCAGTGCTGTCACTGGTACATGTGATTCATGCATTTCAAACATTCACGTATAGTATTTAGCATAAAGCAGAACCAAGTGGCCAATATGAAAATGACAAACTAATCTGAGGCCTATATCCCTGAATTGCACACATCACTGTATGTAGCGTTTGCTTTGATTATAAACTTGGTTGCATGTAGCATACTCAGTGCTGCTCCTGTATGACATTCACTCATTAAAGCTTGCTAGTGAACAAAAACATAATTACCCTGAATGCTATTAGAGCTAACATATCATTTGACCAATTTTTTCCAAAAATAAAACAAAAAATATATATACAACCTATGCAGCATGTAGATTGAATGGGAATCCATAAACACACCACTATGAGACTAGTTCTACAGAGATGTAAAAAAGAGAATATACACTCAATAGTGATGAACACTAGGCAAGACTAAAAACAGACAGCGATGGATAGGACAAAACAGGAAATCTGGAGAGAGTGAAGAACATGATCAAATAACTGATTAAGATTAGGTGAACAAAGGAAAGAAAAGAGAGAGCAATGGTTTTTGGTGTAGAAACTAAAGTGAAAGTCAACACGCAAACGGCCACATTGTAATCTTCACCACAGTTTTTAAGTAATCCTGGGAAATTCTAAAGGAATTGAGTCCCTGCAGCATCACTAGTAGCACGCAATACAGCCAACTTGACAAACGGTGAGAAAATGCATTAACTCTTTGTCTTCTTCATGCCTGATCCCTCCTGAGACAGGGAGTTTCTCCAGTTAGTTTATCCAGTTTGGCTTTTTAGTCTTGCAATTGTAGGCCCTGTGTGATCCATCAGCATTTTTATATACACACACACACTTCTACAGCTCTTCTTCTTATCCACTGTATATATTGTAGATAATGTTGATCAGTTCCTTTCCCTGATTTGCTGCCCTTAAAACTGCTTACTGGACAGCATCTACTGAATCCACCCATGAGTGTTTTTAGCTAATTTGTATGTCACTGAAGCGGTCTTTCATGCGATACAACACATACAAAGTTCACATTGTAGTAAAAGAGTAAATAATCTCTGTAAACACAGCATCTAGGATATGCTTTGTGTTTACATTGAGAAAGTCTAAAAACAAAAACCCTGAAGAGTGTACATTAGATCTAACAGTGCTAAGTCGAGGTATTGTTGTCTTGTCGCGCAATATTCCTGGTTAGTGAAATTCAGTTTCCAGTGATTTAGTGTTGCACTTGTTATACAGAGTAGTTCTCACATGCAACCATGTGAAACACAAATCTTACTGGCAAACTCTGTTTGACATTTTTCTATTAAGACAGGATGCAGTGGTCCTATTTTCTTCCAGTCTGACTCGATTTAAAAAACAAAAACAAAACAAATTTCAAATAGCCATCAGCAGCATGATATTTTTTCACACAGAGGTTCTGTATGTGTCTCAGTCCTTCTTGTAGTGATGATAGTGTAGCACCTGGTGTACCTGTAATGTGTGGGATGCTACCCACTGCCATTTTTCCTTCATGTGAAATAGCGACACTGTGTAGAGTCAATATAACAATAGGAAGTACATCGTAATTTTCCATAAGACCTAAGATAAAAGAGAGCATGCATCAGTTACACAGAACATTTAACCATTACGATACATTTTCATTTAATGTATAAATACTGTATTTGCACTAGCTCTGACCAGTCTCACAATCATAGAACAATTGGGCTGGAAAGGATCTAAGGGAGATCATCTAAATCCCACTCCCTCCTCAAAGAAGGATCTTCCCAGACAGCATCTGATGAAGCAAGCTGCTGCTTACAAAGACTTATGCACCTCTGATTTAGCTAGTTTATAAGATGCAAATCTACCTGGCTTTAAACCATCCTAGCCAAATGTCTGTTTAACCTGGTCTCAAAGACTTCCACTTAGAGATGTTGTAGAATCTATTCCAGGGCTTAACCTTTCCATAGAAAGTTCTTCCTAATATCTAGCTTAAATTTCTCCTGTTCCAATGTAAGTACTTGTCCTATGCCATTTGGACTAAAAACATAGTCAGTCATTGTCCTCTTTAGCCTCTTAATTTCTGTCATATTGTGCATCGGATCTGGCAGTAGCTTTCTGTAAGAATCAAGTCTATTCCCACAAAAATATCAGCAGAAAATTACAGTTTTACAGAAATTACAGAACCTATAGGATCAAAGGGGTCACAACTAGAAATGTAAAATTTCTGGAAATTTTGAAGCCATGGAAAAAACCTGTTTTTTCCCCATTTTTTTCAGGAAAAAACCCCAGATTTTGGAGGGAAAATTGAAATATATGCAATAATTATTTTCTTAGCACACTTTACAGATTTAAATTCACTTTACTACTTTAAGAACATAAAATGTATTATGTATAACTTGGTTTGCCCATTGAATTATCATGTTTGGTATATTTATTACATTTAAAAGTATAGTTTATTCAGACAATAATTACAAATTTACTAATTGAATTTACTTTAAAATGTTTTTAATTTTTGTTACAAATGGAGCTACAAGCTGCTGAACTCTAAGGAACTAGCATCTCTTAGTTTTTGCCAGTTTATGAGAAGCAGGCAAAAATTAAAGTTGAAGATAGAAGAAACTATGAACATTATAGTAAAACAAAGAAAGTTATCACATATTCTGGATGTAGTCTCTTCCATAGTGTCAAGCAGATACAGAAAGCACTCATTTTTAGAAAAAGAGCTGAGAAAAAAAAGGAGAAAAAAGCCAAGACTCATTGAATACAAATTTTGCTACATGAAACTTTGTCTAATCAGTCTCATTTTCTGAGCTATCACTATCAGCATTTTCTGCTTCTTCTGCTCCTTCATTTTTACCATCTTCATGTACTTCTGAAAACTGAAGTTTTGCCTGGATTGAGAAAAGCTTCTCTACTGTTTCACATGTTAATTTGTTTCTTGATTTGGTGTGAGTATTTCCAAACATAGACCAGTTTCTTTCACATGCTGCAGAAGATGGAGGAATCTGAAACAGTTGAGAAGAGGAGTCAAAGGCTGTGTCCTGCAAAGGCCTTGGCACCATGCTGCAGGAGGGATATATCCTTGGCAGAGTCCCAGACTGCATTCCTGGACCAAATACCTGAAGATGTTCTGTATTCTGCAACATTTGAAAGTACATTTCCAACATCAAGTCCTAAGTGTGTTGCTTGTTTTGTAATCCAGTCAAATGCAGTAGCAGTGCTATCATCTCTAACACTTCTGCCTTTGAATCTTGGATCCAAGAGATTTGGAGCAGCATGGAATTGATTGGCAACAAAATTCTTCCCGTTTGTTATTAAAGTCTTTCACTTTTTTTCTTCTGTACTTGTAAGCGGAGATACATTTAGATTCTTAATACAGTTGATTTTATCTGGGCCATTTGGTAAGGAATGTCTGACAAAAGTGCACTGTCTGATCCAGATGCAGTGATTGCTGAAGAAATTAGCTTTACAATCTTCAGGGAGTTCTGCAGCTGAACCCAGAAGACATCCTCATCAAATACAGTGTTGCTTACACTTCTGGGTACTTTAAGATCCTCAATTATTACTGTTTCTTGAAGAGCATCTTTGTTTTTTAGTAAACTTTCAAATGAGATCACCACTCCACCCCATCTAGTTTTACTACAGAGTTTGAGTGTCTCTATTTTATTCTTTGCATTCTTTTCTTCCTGCTTCTTCTTAAAGACTGCAACTACAATATGAGTAGCCTTTACACATTTTACAACTTCTTTTGCTCTTCTATAGATCTTTTGCAGAGTGTTCAACTTCATGATGTTATTAAGAAGCAAGTTTAGCCCATCGGATGCACATCCTATTGCAGTAATATGTGGATATTTATCCATTATGATCCCCCATGCTGCTTTCATGTTACTTGCCTTGTCAGTCAGCAAAGCAAATAACTTTACCACTCCCAATCTTCTGCAGGACTTCATATATTTTACTAATGATATACTCTGCAGTATGCCTGTTCTCTCCTGTTTCAGTGCTTCTGTAAAAAACTGGCTGAGGTGTTGTTATCACAAAATGTATGATTCCTTCTCCCCGCACATTTGTCCATCCATCTGTAACTACTACAAGACACAGTGCTTCATTGATTTTTCCTTGCACAGATTGCATTACACGTTCATATTCTGACTCTAAAAGAAGCTTGCTCAAAGAATGTCTGTTGGGCAAACAGTATGATGTTCTTAGTCATTTAAAAGCTTCCTGCCAGTATGCATTTTCAGTTATTGATAATGGCATCCCAGAAAAATATATTGCTCTTGCAAGAGCTTGGTCAATTTTTTCTGATCTTCAGGTGTCATCTTGTCTACAAATGACGTTATTGAGAGTCTTTTGTATACAGTTGGTTGCAATATTTGGTTACTTGAGGATGTTGATTGGACAACCCTTTGTGATGCTGATGTTATAGAAGAAGCAGCAGCAGCAGTAGGAGGACTTCTGGACTGAGAACATTGGAAAGAACTACTTGCACTTTCATCATCATGATTTACCCCCTCCTCACTTACACCCATGAAGGATTTTTTAATATCTGCAGAACACTTCTTGCATACAAGGATGTCTTTGGTCATCCTAGTAGCATTTGGAAATACATATTTCATTTGACAGTATTTGCAAATCACATTTTATTCTCAGAATAACTTGCAGTGTGGAAATGCTTCCATATGCTAGAAGTTGGTCGCACAATTTTGCTGAGGAAGAAAAAAGAAAAATGTAATTTAGTGGCTAGCTTGTATATATAAACACTAAATTACAGCATGTACAAATTTAGTAATGGATGGAGTTAACTGTGAACAACTTCCCTGCCCTGCAGGCCTTGCCTCACTGCTAAAGTTGGGTGATTTGTCACAAAACATCACATTAGTAAGAATTCAATTATGAATTGCATAGGTTAAGAAAATATACTAATACAGCTAAAATATAGTTTAATATACTGAATTCAGAGAAATTTAAACTCTTACCTTTCAATAAGGAAGTATAATTTCTTTCAGCTTCATTGTGCTGATTCTGTACTTCTCCAAAACCTTTAGACTTGCTCGGTCTCCTCTCCTGAGGCTTTTGAAAAAGCAGGGCAATAAGCTCCTGGTTTCTAAGCTGTACAGGAATGAATGGATGCTACTGCCAGTGTCCACTCCCAATCCTCCAAGGCCTAGTCAGGAGGACAGGAGCAGATCCACCAACCTCTAGATCAAATGTCAACAATAGAGGAAGTCCACAAGCAAAGGCAGCACTGAAGCCTTCTTTCTCCTCTTGTGAAAATGGCAGCACCCCCTGGGGGCAGAAATGCATCTCGCTCTTGCATTTGAAAGTTGTACTGTATTGCTTGTCCTCGGTGTATGGGAATTGTAATGGTCTGATATTGTAGACAGTCTTGTATAAAAGTCTTCCTATTACACAGTTATCAGAAAACATTTTTGGGGAGTAAAGGGTAGCAATATATGAACACCTTGTCTTAAACATTTTATTGATCATTCTAAAAGAAAATACTTCATAAGAGGTTTTATAAATTTTTCCAAAAAATTTCAATTTTGGGGGAAAAAACAAAAAAAAGTCCTATGAAAAATGGGGAAAAAAACATTTTTTTTTCTAAATTTTTCTTTTTTTTTTCTTGGCCTTCACATCTCTAGTCACCACAGCAAATTCAGGTAATGGGATAGGAATCTGAAGTCTCCATTTAAACCATACTTAACATAGGTCTATGACTGTGACATCTCCTGTTCTGCAATTTCCCTTTCAAACTTTTTAAAAGTTTTGCTGCCTGAGAAGAGTAATCCTGATTTTTTTAATATATGGAGAGTCCTGACCCTGTTGTTCACATCGCATATGGACTCAGCAAGAGAAGGCATGCAGACTTGGTGGCTCTACACTATGGCTGGCAGGTGGAAAAGTGTGATCTCAAGGCTGCCGTTGGCCCCCTTTGACTACATATAAGCATGGGCTATAGGGTGACCAAGTTTTCCTCCTCCTTCCTCCCCCTCCCCAATGCAAGTATAGCTTAGATGGTCTCCCGACCCACCTGAACAGCAGCCGGGTTCCAAGTCAGAAAGTATCAGGGCAGTGCTGATCTCACAATTTTGGCCTGTACTTCTTTCTGAGGATGGGTCTAGCCTCTCCTGGAAAGGCTACCAGGACAGTAAGGTTGGGAACATGAGAAAAGAAAAGGGCCTGCTGTCATAGCCCAGGGTTTAGCTTGCCAGCTTCCTTAGCCCAGGGCTCAAGACTTCTGTCTCCTTTTTCCAGGGGCCCTCACTGCTGTGTATCTAAACTTTTTTAACATGGAGTGGCCGAGACCTCTGGGCCCGTATCTTATAAGTTATCTGAGAGAGAAAGCTGCCTAACCTATTTGCTTAATAGCATTCACTGCGGCTGTGCTGGGGCTGCCCATGGTTACCTCTGGCTAAGCACAGGGTCTCTTTTGGTGCAGCGATTTTTTTTTTGACTTGTGGTTACTCCATGGCTCATGCCATGTATGGACTCAGAAGGAGAAAGGCTGGTCAGCATGCCTGCTCGTTGGCTCCAGGGCTGGGAATCAGAAGAGCATGAGATGAGGGGTGCCTATTGCCATCACTGGATTACCTGAATTAGCTTCTGTGACCCCTTTGTTTTTATGGGTTCTTTGCTTCTCACAACACTGTCATCCTCCTTCCCCTTTACCTCTCGATCCTCTTTTTCCACCTTTTGTATTAAAATCACTCACTTCACTTTATACACTGCTTTATGCTGTCCTTTCACAGTGTCTGATGAACTAAACCTGAATTTATGCAAACTTGTACTCTCTCTCTCTATATAATCTTAGTTAGCCTGTAAGGTACATATATACCCTACCTTCTGGACTAAATTCCACTTAATCAAAAAAGCGTTTAACTTTTATTTGGGCAACAGGCTTCCACTGATTTCAAGTGTTGAACTGTCTTTCCCTTGATTTCAAGGGTAAGAAAACATACTTACCATGGAGAAGGACACCGAGCTACCTTGCAGAAAAAATCTGCAGATTATTACCATCTCCTCTGTGTGGGGGACAGTACAGAGGTGGTAGAGATTGAGGATTGTTGTATCTTCATTTAATTGAATTGAGCTATAACAATATAATCAAGAATCCGAACCACAGATTTTATATGTATGCAATATTGATAAGATTTTTGTTTTTTACTACTGAAGTGATCCTTCCTCATCTCCCTCTATGTGGAAACTGGGATTTCTAGAAAGTGATTCCTGAGTTTGAGTGTCTCCATTTCTAGGTTTTGAATGCTTCCAAGGGGCTGCTTTTTGCTTCAGGAAATGGTTGTTCAACCCTTCCTGAGAAACAGGCCCTTTAAGACATCTCATTTCTGTAAAATGGCTTTTTTGTAAATCTTGTCCTGCGCAACCTTTCATCTCAAGTTCAACCACCTTTACAGTGGACAGTTGCAACAATTGCAATTTGAGGATTGACACAAGGGGTAGTTTGCAGAAATGCTCTGTGGTTTCTTATTTCTGTCAATTAGCACATCATAGTTTTATGAACCCTGAGGGCTCTGCAGATAATTTCGTTTACAAATTAAATGTTTCCTGTTAGATAGTAATGATACCCGACAGTGAGATAGAGGAACTGAAATTGGAAGCAAAATGCTGGCCAGAGGAAGACACTTACACAAATACAAAGCACCTCAACAATAAACAGATGTTTCAAACAAATACACTGCCAAGCAAAATATGGCTTTGCATTTTTGCAGATAATTCTGGTCTTTGAAAATGCTTGAGCTAATATATAATTGACTGCTTCAGAACAAAAGAATCCCAGACTGTAGGACCACAGACTGCCCACATCAGAGTTGAGCTACAAAGGAAGAAAAAGTGGCATTTTGCCTCTTTTTTCTTCTTTGTGATGTAACAAGTAGTCTTAGCTACACTTGAACATTTTAAGAAGAGAAAATTAGTTTAATGATAGCATCAGAAGAGTGGTAAAGTTGAGAGACTGGAAAGGGAAGGGATTCTCTGGGATATATTTGCAGATTAAGGACAAATTTATGCTCCCAGGCACAACACATATGCCCAAATCTCATTCACCAAAGTAGAAATCACATGCATATCACTGAAGGGACAATTTAGTTTCAAAAGTCAATATAATGCAGTTGGAATATATACCATTTGTTTTCCCTCTATCTTAGTAACTAGAGATGGAATAAAATAATCTCCTATGATAATTTGTTTTTAGCTAATGAAGGTAGGTTTGTCCATACCCAGGGAGATATGTTTTACATGTCAAATATCCAAAATCTTTTCCATCACAGTCTTCTACTCCTTCATGTCGGTAGCCATCTCCACAGTAAGCACGACGACATCCTAAGGACAATGCAGAGAAGAGCACCTTCAAAACTGAGAGGACCAACTAAAGGATGCAGAAAAGATGAGCAGGACTTTATAATTAAGGTCAGAACATGAAGCAGGGAAGCTGATAGGCATCACCAACAGACTTTCTTATTGGAAGGACTTGGCTCTGCTTTAAAGACCACTTTTTCTTTAACTTAAGTTTGGGTAACTTCCAACACAATTTGAACACGTACAGTATTACCTCATGGTGAGAGAGTGGAGTTATTTCTTATTCCAGCTAGAAGGAATGAAGATGATGGTGCTCCCACCAAAACAAGTGAGAAAACTCCCATTTCCTGAAATGGAACCTGGCCTAGGGCCATGACTAGAGAGGCCATCGTATTGTACCTGTGGGTGAAGGCTGGGTTTTTAATGGGTCCCACTGCATATATCTTCATAATTTTTGCCTAAATCATAACTGGATTTTGAATGTAAGGTCTGTGATTTTTCTAAACATAAATTTAAAAGTGGAGAATGTATTCCTTCATTTGAGAACCAGAAGTCAAAGGGAGTTGAGTCACTGTTAAACAAACTATACTGATAAAAAGGGCATGCAGAAGTGGGGAGCTGATAACAGTTATTAACCATTTATTTCCTAGAAGCCAAGGTGAGCTCCTCCACAATGACTCATTAACTCTGCCAGCAAGCTGTTTTGTTAGAAATTATTGCTTCTATATAAAGAGTAATTATTCTGTTAACAACTAAATTTATTCAAAAGTTAACTATTTTGTTTTGATTCAGTCAAGAGAGAATAACTGGCAGAAGCACAGAGGCTGATAAGAACAAGATGATGGATACTTTTTTGTTTCCAGGTGTTCAGGTCACATCGGTGATAACCTTACAGATCATGGAACTCTATTCATCTGAAGCTATGTTTAATTTAATATGATGGCATACCAGAGACTCAGCATATTTACAGAAAAAAAAGAAGCTTGCAGTTTTCAGTTAACAAACACCTATTCAGCACTGTGAAAATGACTCCTTTGAAATAAACAAGCAGAAAGCAGGGAAGAGTTTCTGTACGATTGGGTAAGGAGTGAAGTGGCAAATACAAGACTTTTGAAGGTAATGAGCAATGCCTGTATGCTATCCTTTGGCCTGTGCTTTTAGTGAGCAGCAAAGTGAAAACCAAGTTTACTTGGTGTGTAAAACTAGAGGTGAATATAGTGGGTTAAAAATTAATCCCACTGAAGACAACAGCAAATCTCTGATGGTTCTGAAGGAACTAGAATCTGACTGATTATTAATTCTTACTATTATGAACAGATACATATATAGCTTTTTATTTTATAAAGCAACGCTGCTGTCCCAATACTTATTTGGGATTTTGGAAGGGATAAACAGATTTTGCTTACCTAAAATCATTCTCTATTTAGTCTCAGCTGGATAGAATGGTTAACTTTTACTTTCAGTCCCAGATGATTGTGCAATACACCAGCAAGGGTCTAATCTTGAGCCCAAAATCACACCACTTTCTACATAAATTCTGTATATGTGAAACAATTGCAGGATTGAACCCTTGAAAATATTAGGTATAATGTTCTGATTTACAGGTGGCTGAATTTTAGCAGTGAATGAAATAGTTCCTGTTTGTCAAACCTGAGAAGTATTTGGAAACCTTTGAAACAAGACACACAACATTTACAAGGTACTATTTTCTCCAGTGCATATAACGTTTGGCCATCTTATTTTTTTTATAAAAATCAATTTATATTTCAGCTATTGAACCTTCATCTTTAACATCTATATTCAATATACATACTTATGGTTGCCTAAAGCTCCCACATAAGATGTAATGGAATGGTCATTCTATTGATCTTAGAATAACATCTAAGAACATTTATACACATGCTCCGGGAGTGTGGGAGGGAAGGGAGGCAGGCTTTAATTAGAGGCTCTGACAGCTGCTCTAATTCAAGTGCCCAAAGCGTCTCATGTATCAGTGTCCCTGCACTGAAAAATGGCAGTGGGGGCACTTTAACTAAAGCTCGTTAAATAAGCTTTAGTTAAAGCCCCCCCGCCACCATTTTTTCAGCACTGATGCATGAGATGCTGGAGTCTGCTGGAGCGTGGTAATTATCACACTCCAGCAGACTTGATTAATCAAGTCTGTATTTACAACACAGGAGAGCGGCCTTGCTGCTCATGTGTAGGCCCCTAAGGTACTTTTACATAATATAAAGAACAGCATTTGAATGGGTGTAACTCACTTATACAGTCATCAGTCACAATAGTATTGCCATCATCACATTCTTCCCCATCCTGTACGATCCCATCTCCGCAGGTACTTTCATCCTCTACAGGATAATCCACAGGATAGAAAGGAGTAAGCTATCCAAACAAACACATAACAGTTACCCAACCTGAAATATAATCATCTTTCTCAGCATTAGAAAGTGAAATGAATGCTACCGTTGGGCTGAAACCACAAATTGGTTTGGCCCACTACTTGAGCCAAGTGGGAATCTGAAGTGTGGATCCAAATGTATTCATAGTTTAGAGGATGCTTGGATCTGAGGGTTGAGATTAGTTCTGTCCCCTAATGCAAAGTTAGGGAAGTTCTCAGAAACTTGCAATGTAGGTGAATTTCTGTGTACTGCTTTACATTAAGTCCAGATAGCATTAGCTTAAGGTGAAATAAATGGGTCTCCCATAAAGTCAGACAAAACCTCTAATAGCCAACAGGAATCTGGCTTCAACTGGTTTCAGGGGTTTGCACAAATCGTTTTCCCCACATGACTTCATACTCCTGACTTAGCTTAACAGGGAACTCTTCAGTAAACTAAATCAGAAAAAGGAAGCTTATAAGAAGTGGAAACTTGGACAAATAATTAGGGAAGAATATCAAAGCATTGCTCAGGCATGCAGGGATGAAGTCAGGAAGGCCAAAGTGCAATTGGAGTTGCAGCTAGCAAGGGATGTGAAGAGTAACAGAAAGGGTTTCTAGAAGTACGTTGGTAGCAAGAGGAGGATCAGGGAACCTATGGGTGCTTTACTGAATGCGGGAGGCAACTTTGTCACAGAGGATGCAGAAAAGGCTGAAGTGCTCAAGGCATTCTTTGCTTCAGTTTTCACAGGTAAGGTCAGCTCCCAGACTACTGCACTGGGCAGCACAGTTTGGAGGGGAGGTGAGCAGCCCCAATGCTGAAAGAACAGGTTAGGGACTACCTAGAAAAGCTGGATCTGTACAAGTTCATGGGGCTGGGCAGGATGCACCTGAGGTGCTAAGGGAGTTGGCTGATATGATTGCAGAGTCATTGGCCATCATCTTCGAAAACTCGTGGTGATCAGGAGAGGTCCCAGATGATTGGAAAAGGGAAAACATATTGCCAATATTAAAGAAAGGGAAGAAGGAGGGCCCAGGGAACTACAGACTAGTCAGCCTCACCTTGGTCCCTGGAAAAATCATGGAGCAGGTCCTCAAGGACTCCGTTTCTAAGCACTTGGAGGAGATGATTAGGAACAGACAGCATGGATTCACCAGGGGCATGACCAACCTGATTGCCTTCTATGATAAGGTGACTGGGTCTGTGGATGTGGGGAGACCAGTGGATGTGATATACCTTTGATTTTAGCAAGGCTTTCGATATGGTCTCCCACAGCATTCTCACAGGCAAGCTAAGGAAGTATGGGCTGGATGAATGGACTGTAAGGTGGATAGAAAACTGGCTGGAGCACTGGGCCCAGAGAATAGTAATCAATGGCTCAAAGTTTAGCTGGCAGCCAGTATCAAGTGGAGTGCCCCAGTGGTCAGTCCTGAGGCAAGTTTTGTTCAACGTCCTCATCAACAACCTGGAAGATGGCATAACATGAACCTGTAGCAAGTTAGCAGATGACACCAAACTGTTTGGGGGAGGGGGAAAGGGAGATATGTTGTAAGGTAGGGCTAAGATTCAGAGTGACTTTGACAAATTGGAGGATTGGCTCAAAAGGAATCTCATGACGTTCAACAAGGACAAGCAAAAAGTCCTGCACTTAGGATGGAACAATCCCATGCACCACTACAGGCTGGGGGCTGCCTGGCTGGGCAGCAGCTCTGCAGAAAAGGACCTGGGGGTTACAGTGGACAACAAGGTGAATGAGAGCCAGCAATGTGCCCTTGCTGCCAAGAAGGCTAACGGCATCCTGGGCTGCATTGGTAGGTGTGTTGCCAGTAGGTCAAGGGAAGTGATTCTTCCCCTCTATTCAGCACTGGTGAGGCCACATCTGGAGTACTGTGTTCAGTTTTGGGCTCCTCACTATAGAAAGGATGTGGACAAATTGGAGAAAATTTTACTCACCCAGCAGAGGGCAGTAAAAATGGTGAGGGAACTGGGGAACATGACTTACGAGGAAAGACTGAGGGAACTGGACTTATTTAGTCCAGAGAAGAGAAGACTGAGTTGGGATTTAATAGCAGCCTTCATTTACCTGAAATGGGGTTCGAGAGAGGATGGAGCTAGACTGTTCTCAGTGGTGGCAGATGACAGAACAAGGAGCAATGGTCTCAAGTTGCAGCAAGGGAAGTTTAGGTTAGATACTAGGAGGAATTTTCTCACTAGGAGCGTAGTAAAACCCTGGAACAGGTTACCCAGAACGATTATAGAAGCTCCATCCTTGGTGATTTTCAAAAACCGGCTAGACAAAGCTTTGGCTGGGATGATCTAGTTGTGGATGGCCCTGATTTGAGCAGGGGGGTGGACTAGATAACCCCTGAGGTCCCTTCCAACCCTAACTTTCCATGATTCTATGATTCTATTAATGTTGCCAGCAGATTGAGAGCATTGATTCTTCCTCTCTATTCTGCACTGGAGTATGGTGTCCAGTTTTAGGCCCTCAACTACAGAAAGGCTGTGAACAAGTTGGAAGGGGTCCAGTGGAGGGCAACGAGAATGGTTTAGGGGGCTGGGGCACATTACTTCTGAGAGGCTGAAGGAACTGGGCTTATTTAGTCTGCTAAAGAGAAAATGGGGGATTTGATAGCAGCCTTTAAGTACCTGAAGGGTGGTTACAAAGAGGCTGGAGCTTGACTGTCCTCAGCGGTGGCAAATGACAGAACAAGGAGCAATGGTCTCAAGTTACAGCAAGGGCAGTTTAGGTTGGATATTACGAAAAACTCTCACTAGGAGGGCGATGAAGCACTGGAACAGATTACCTAGTGAGGCTGTGGAATCTCCTTCCTTGGAGGTTTTTAAGCCCTGGCTCAACAACGTCCTGGCTGGGATGATCTAGTTGAGGAGGGTCCTGCTTTGAGCAGGGGGTTGGACTAGATGACCTCCTGAAGCCCCTTTCAACCCTAATTTTCTATGATTCTATGACTAACAGTTGTGCATAAGAGCCATACACTCAGGCAACAGCTTTGAGTTCTGCTCTGTTCCGGGCTAACCCTGAAATATGTCTGCCAATCCGTTCCACAAAACTCAGCCCTGACATTTTTCTTTTTGAGCCTGGTTCACAGGCAGGTATAAAAAACCTGAAACTTTCAAAAAGTTAATGCCTCCAGTAATTCCTGTGAATAAGAGTCCTGGAATTTTACTCACATCTGACAAAACTTGACTTTTCAGGAATAACTTCTAAAAATGCTCAAACAACCTGCATGAAAGCTTTTCTGTTGTTTTTTATTTGCTCAGTAATACCTAAAGTACAGATCTTGTTTAAAGAGGGAAAGGAAATTATAAATCAGATGTCTTCTGAAATACATTGTTACCTGGATTGGAAGCCATCCAACAGTATCCTTGAAATAGAGAGATCTCTGATCTCTTCGAAAGGCTAAGGCATTTTTAGTGTCCAGCCGGTCTAGTTCTTCTTGATTGTTCACCACAAAAATCTGGGACATAGAAAAGGAGATAATTGGGAATTCTTTCAAATGATGTATCAGGTTGTCACAAAGTCTACTTTTCCAGGGGTAACATATGTCTTTACATATGTTAATAAACATCCAGAAAAAGATTTTGACAGGTTGAATTCAAAACAATACTACTTTTAATACTATAGTTGTGATCACAAAATAAATAATAAAAGAACCATTACTCAGCCTTAAATATTTTATTCATACTTGCCTGGCATTGAAATCTATACTTCTGTATATAGGAGTCTTTCTGTCCAAAGCAATTTTTTTAATTGAATAGAAAAAAAAGCTCAAAACAGGAAGAAATAGAATGAGCTGCTCTTGTCTTAAATTCTTTTATGTTTAAGTCACTGAAAACAGCTGTAAGAGACATTAAGCAGTAATCCCTTCCTTTAGCACTTTAATCGAATTAATTTTGGTAAGATTCAAAACATTTTTATATTAAGAAAAAGCAAATGGAATACAACTGAAGAAAATGGATTTAGTAACATAATGGCTAAGCCTGATTTCCACTAGGATAAACAGAATTAGCTCTTTTTAAAAATCTGGGCTGATTTATTTTTACATAACATCGTGCTGTCCCCGCAGCCCTAACAAAATCACATACTGAGTAATAATGCCTTCAGTCCAAATGGAACACTCTTCCACCAAGAGCTGATTCTGCAGTCCCGGAGCATTCCTGGGTAAAAATGCTGTAGCTTCACTTGAAAACAGTTTAAGTTTTATCTTCTTAACAACTAGATATCTAGGCCATCAACAAAAGATGTAAAACCTGGAATGAACTGCAATTACTGAGAGCTAGTCTGAGCATTGATTAATGAAATGAAACTGAGCTTGGGTGTTATTCTACACAAAGCCAACAGAGAAATTAACAACTGGGGAAAGCACAGGGGTACTGGGAGCATGTAGTGGAAGGCCTATTTAGTTCAAAGTGGCACTAGGTGTTCTCTAAATTATTCAGAGCTGGTTGGCCTCCCATTCAGCTAACTTGCAATTATAACTCACATCAAGCAAGGCACTAAGCACTCGCTCCTTTTCTGTTCTGTAGGCAACTATCTCAGCCTTTAAGTGATATGAAAAATCTTGCAGTGCTAATCAAAGATGACTTTGTGAAAGAGAAATGTAATTGCAGACTTAAACTTGAACTCTTAACACTAACGATAAATGGAGTAAGCAAGTGGAATTGCCAAGAAGGGAGCAACAACCCTGTTTTATTAGAAGATAATGTCATGAATTTAAATGGCTTCCCAAGCTGTCTGTCTTCTTTAAGTTTGTCAATTTTGACAGGGCCAAGTAAGGGCATGCCCACTTGATCCATGCCCGCTTGAATAAGACTGCGACTTTTGCATTGGCGATATCTATGCACCAATTAACGTATGTTAATCTCAAGTGTCAAACAATCCATAGACTGTTGCAAGTGGCTGCATAGCCTGGATGAGAGAATTACATCCTTTTGCTCCTTGTGCATCAGCACAGTGACAGTACTTAAGTGAGCTGTTGAGGTGAGACTGGCTCTTTGGTCTAAGTTCAAAAGAAACTCATTTATAATTAAAAATAGTTAGGTGAACAGAAAAGCAAAATAAAACTAACCGGGTTTGCAGCATCTATAGTTCTTCATCAAATAAAAGACTGGGTTCAGTAATCCACTATTAAAGAACAATATTATGAGAGTATAACTTGTGCTCTTTTCAACACTCTCCTCTCCTCCACACTGTGGTTTTCTACTGTGGAACAGATTTGTGTGTAATAGGGCTAATACATATCAGGGCTAAGAGAGATGCCCATTTTCCTTATTTATTCACTGTTATTCAACACTTTGCCATATAACTTTCCTTCAGTGGCATAACTAGGGCAGGCGAATGGGGCAACTGTCCTGGGTGCTGACTTGGGGATAGGGATGTGAAAAAAGCAGTTGCTGCCAGCGCTGTGCAATCTCGATTGTGATCATGCAGCACCCAGATGTCAACAATGCCATCCACTCACACAAAGCCAAGGTACAGATATTCACTTTGTACCACAAGAATCACTGTCCTCCTGGTAGAAACCAAAAGTATATATATATGGTCAGGCTTTTTCTCCCAGGGTACATATGACCACTCCAGGAGAAAAATAACCCTGTGAGGCTCTCCAGCCATGGAGCTAGAAGAGCATCTGTACAGTTTGGCTCCTGGGCTACTTTACTACTGGAATATTTTTTTTCCAGTGAAAATTCATGTCTGTACACAGCATAAAGCTTGGAGCTTGTTGTAAGGCATAAGCCCCTCCCATAGGCTGACTTTCAAGGTTTTATATATAAAGAAGAAAGTTTTGAAGCACACTTATCATATTCAAACAAGCTCCCCTTTAGATCCAGAAGTTTATCCAACACAGTGGGTGCATCAACACAAGACACTAACTAAGCAGTAGTCAAAAATACTTCACAGTAGCACGTCACAGCATGGACAGTGCTAATATGTTACTGCACAGTAGCATCACCTAAAAGACATTAGCTGGCACTACTGCACAGTAACTCCAGTTACTGCACATCTATTCAGTACTTGCTTACTATACAATTATTATATTATTCTATACAAGTACTAAATAAATGCGCAGTAATGGCTGTGCAGTAGTGCTCATATAGATGCTCAGTGTCTCTTAAAAGATGTTTACATATAATTTACTTCACTTCCTAACAAGATGACTTACCACAGGGACTTTTGCGTAATTGTGTCCAAACATGGATTCCTCATATGGTGGGATGTTCACATTTTGTGGAGGTTTGCAAAGACATCTCCCTGGAGGCCCTGGAAGTCCTCTTTCCCCTTTTGGTCCTATTGCTAATTGTCCTAGGAAGCAAAATATGAGCCTGTCATGTTACATAGTTACTGTACAAAATGCAAACATAGCCTCAGAGGAGGAAAGGCTGAATGTTGAGTCACTCAAAAATACATCTGTGCGCCATCAGCTGTTGCATGTCCTTACCTCCCCTACAGTTCACTGGGTATTGAGGGAACTCATTATTTTGCAGTTTAAGGATGCATGCCTTAACAGTACAAGCAGTGATGTTATTACAGAATGGGCATTTAGGATAAGAACTCACATGGCTGGTTTGGTATTAGCAAAACTGAGAAATATTTTTTCTATGGACAGAGATGACCGTTTAAAAAGAAATCTCAAGATCCTGTTTGCCTTTCCAGCAGGTGAAGACATCTCTGCAGTTTACTAATTTCCAGCTGAATCTATGCTGGGAGGTTTCACTTTGGGGGATATCCCAAATAATAGCTATCAACTCAAAGGAGACTGCTTCCAGGGCTTCAAAGATCCATGCCCACTGAATTAGGCAAAAGGAGACAATGGGAAACATGAAAAAAGGAAGCTGAGCAGCTTTCCCCAGATGTTACTGGATTCCAGCTGGCTTTTGCTTTTGTTAAATTTTTGGCCTTTTTATGCTTCCATCATACATTTAAGAGGGGAAAAACACTGACTGGTAATATGTACTAGCGTCCCTTTGTATTAAAGCTCTCATATTGACACATGGGTTAGCTTGCTTCCTTGCCTAGGGCTTGTGTGCATTTGTGTTCCTGATTTATAGTTTTCAGCAACAAAGAACTCCCCAGACCTTTGCCTTTTATCTCTGCACCACATACAGAGGCATCCACAGCATGCCCAGAGACAGAGAGAGGGGATTTTTTTCACTCCTTTTTTCCTATATAGATTACTCCTCTCCCATCAGATCTTATTGTAGCAACAAGTATCTGTTTTGTTTTGTTATTTACAGAGTGGCACAGGGTGAGCCTATACCAGCTGGCTAGGAGAAGCAATCTGGCACTGTAAGCCCAAACAGTGAGGAGACAGAGAGGAAGAGGGCTTCAGTTATGATGACTCAATAAATCCTCCCAGGCTCCCATGCAGCTCTTCCTCAAGTCCATGTGCACAATTAACTGGGGTCTTCAGCTAGCTTTATGATCACATAACTTATTTTGTTTAAAATTATCAACCATAATGAATGGAGGATGGTACAAAACCCCAATAACAAACAATTATGGAATAGCATGCCCATAAAAGAAGTATTCTACTCTCCCACAGGATCTACTGGATAAACAAACCAAACTTCATGGGATTTTCTCTAATGATATCTACTTAAGAGGGTTATAGTAGATAGGACAAGTAAGGGGTGAGATAAGAGATGAGTGGTCCTTCTTACCTGACACTGATGATCCTGGTGGACCAGGCTGACCTGAAGGACCAGGCCTGCCAGGTGGACCCATCATTCCAGTGGGTCCAGTGTCTCCCTTTTCTCCCTGTCATAGAAAAAGGAGCCATTAATTTGTTAAACTATGAATGACAAAGCAAGTTAGGCCCACCTGCATTTAAAAAATGGCAATATATCCCTTCTCCACTCCCCCCCCCAGTAGTCATTCACCAGTGAAAACATATATATTGTACACATAGGCACCATGCATGGAGACATGAGGGCAAGAAAATGGGTTTGGATCTAAATTGGGATTCTGCTTTGAACTAAAACACAAAAATGGTTCCAACTTTCTTAGTAGGTCTGCTCCCTGTATAGTGAAAGCCACATCTTTGACTTTCACTCAGGCACTGTTGAAAATTTTACCCATAGCCTGCATGGCATCTGCCTATTTGTTCTTACTGCCTTTAGTCAGTATTACCTATCACTATCATAAAGACACAAGTCACCCCAACAGGTTGTTGCTCCCCATTCCAAAAATAAAGAGAAATTACAGATAAAAAATAGATAAAAAACAAATTGTTTAGTGGTACAGTCTTCTACTAGAAATGTCCTAGAATCTGATATGATGGAACTTATTTATAACTACAATATGTATTTATCTTTCTTTTCATAAAGTGCCAGAGGTTTAGATTTTTTCTGTCTCAAACAGCTTATCAAATTAATTCAGAATTTTAATGGTGTATCAGCTGCAAGTGATTTGACCTTCATGCAAGAAAACACACAATTTAGCATGGTAGATTACATTATAACCACTTGCTTTTAATCTCAAAGGTGGTGAATTCCACAAGGATGGTGTAACTCTAGGGTAACGTGCATGCAAAAGAAAATGCTGAACTGCTGCATGTCGTTTCAGAGTAATGAAGAACTGACATAGTTACATATACTAAAATAATTGTGTTACATAATATGCTGTATTCCGCAAATAGCTTTAAATGTCAATTGCAGTATTTCAGCTGAACCTGGTTATGTGTAGCCAGGAGCCCTGAAGAATTAATTTAATACTTCACCTTCTTAATTCCTGTAAAGTAAGTACGTTCTGTATCACCAATGCATCCAAGACTCCATGTGAATATCCATAATTTGGGTCAATAATTACTCACATTATAGCACAAGTGTACAAAAGAAGAACACCAGAATCAGAAATGTGGGAGCAGCCAAGAAACTGTGTGGGAGACTTCCCTTTCCTATACAAATGAAAGCCCAGCAGGGGAAATTCAATGTTACAATATGAATCCTTGAGAATTGCTTGATTTCTTTGTGTATTACATAGGGTGAGTGATCAGCTGGCATTCTGCAGCATGAGTCAGATGGATCAAACATTCACATTATAATGTCTTTTGCTTTGGCCCCTTTCTCCTGCACTTGCAAAGAATATTCCCTAAACAATATTTAATCTTCCCAGCAGCAGGCACCAAGCTTTCTAGAAAAGCTTTTTTTCAAGTAATATTATCTACTCATGGCTGACATAAGACATTCCTCCTTGTCAACATTGCAATCCTAAACTGGCTACTTAGTGTCAATTTCCCGGCTACAAACCTTGAGGAACAGGCCTTTTATCTCAATTTGGGAGCTGCAAGGCTGGGACTTGAGAGTTTCATTGTCTGCCTCTACTTTCAGAATGGATTTGCCCTGGAGACTCAGTGGAGAGTTGAAGAAGTCAACAAGATAATCCAGTCTGATCTCAGAATGGAAGTGGAAGTAACACCTTCTTAATTTAGCTGCTATTCTATACAGGGATGTCAGCTGGATCTGGAGACAGGAAATGGCTCTATGGAGGTGAAAATGTCTCTGTTTAACAAACAACCTTTTAAATACAAAAGCCTTGAAATAAGAGCAGCAAAGCCTTGAACTAAGAATTATAGGCTTTAAAAAATAAATCAATAAAAAGTAATAGTCTATTGATCAAATAAAAATGGAAACCCAATTTACAAACCTAGGTTCATAGGGTTAGAGATCAAACTGCCATTTAGGATGAGATCCCAAATGACCTTTAATACCTCCACTTAGGTATTTGCTTAAAATGTAGGTGCCCTGCCTATTTGACAGGGTGAATAGGGAGATTAGTAGAGAGGTGCCTGCAAGTACCCTGTAGGGTTGTTGGGTCCAGAGGTTTGTCTAAACCCCTAATTGTTGTCTATAGATATTAGACGCAGAGCAGGGAGGCACTTTCATTTCACTGGGATCCAGACAGGCCCAACGGAAAGTGCCTAGCTGAGCCAGGACAACAAACTGACAGCAGCACTGATCAAGACAGCAGCCTTCCTCTCCCACCTTCAAGTCACTTGAGAATTGCCACTGGAGGAAAAAAACCGACATTGTAGTAGTGGTTACAGCATTTTCTCAGGAAGTGAGAGATTTGGATTAAACTCATCTGGGGCTCAGTGTCAGCATAAGTGGGGCTCAGTGTGGGCAAACTCATCTGGGGCTCAGTGTGGGCATAAGGGTTTGTTCACAAGGATCATATTGCAGTATCAGTCTAAAATGGTAGCGGATGCATACTTTGTGCTTAAAATGTGGCACAGACAGAAAATAGATTGCAGAATGCGATAATCAAATCCATTAAAGTTGAAGGGAGCTATTTTTCCAATGCATACAAGCAATTCTTGCTGAGTTGAGGAGATGTGACTCTTAGCACCCGTGAGTCAAGCAGAACAGTATTTAATTTTATCTCACAAGTCAACTCCTTCAGCCCCACATCGGTTTTTTGTGCATTTCCCTGAACTCCTCCAATCTGTCAATGTATTTCTGGAATGTGGTGTCCAGAGCTGAGTACATTCTACATGGGGTAACCTTGCCAGGCCCATATTGACAGGGATTATCACCTCTCTGTTTCCTGAGGTGGCACCTCTATGTCCACGACCCAGAGCCCACCTATTCTTTTAGCATCATTGCTTTCTAGGTTTCTACCCCTACCTAACTGTTTGCCTGTGGTATCTTTTCCCGTTTATGTATTTATTCTTTTTCTTGCACATATATCTGAGTTTGTGATGCTTTGTTTTCAGCTGTTAGAACTATTTTGGCAAGAGCTGTAACATGGGCATAATTTATTTGTGTGCTCGGTTTCCACCCTACTATACTGTCACTATAGAAAGCTGCCTTGTGCAACTCCTTCAAGTACTATGCCAGACTCATCCCCTTGAGCCAAAACGCTGCCATTTAATATTACCCACTGTTTACAGTCCCAGTGAACTTAATCCAAGCAGCAGTGCTTCAAAGGGATGAAGGGAAAGGTGTATCAAGATTAAAAATGGAGTCTTGGCCCTGCTGCCTTCCTTAAGGAGAAAATGGGATAGAAAATGACCACAGAAAATGAACTGATGGACCCCCTCCCTGCCTCTGCAGCTGACTTACCCTTCCAGTTGCTCATTCTCTTGCCCTGAAGAATCTAACACTACCTCTCCTCACAGCAGTAGTCACAAAAAATGTAATGGGGAACGTGGCTAGTGTTCCCCATCATCAGCTATAGAGCCTGGAAGGAGATCGTAGTAGTTTCTAGCATCTGGTCCTCTGCTTCCCACTCCTGTTCATCTTCAGGGCATCCCTGACATCTATCATCATGCTGTATATTTACAGCTCTCATAACAGCCACTTTGACTAGTGAGTCAGAGGGCTACAAATCAGAGCAGCAATCATTCCCCCTAAGTCAGCATCAGAACCAGGGATCCATAAAGTTTTTGTAAAAACACTATTGCTACCAATGCTTTGGGTCATGGCCTGAACTAAAGCAACTCTGTCAGCCTTGAATTGGTTGTGGAGTAACCCTAGGGGCCTCCTTGCTGCCAGCTCTGACATGGAATTACCAATTATAACAAAACAGTGGCACTCACTGAGTGAGAGCTGCACACCCTTTCACCAGGCTCCCATTGGCTAAGAAGGGAAACCAAAGCCCTCTCTGAAGTTCTGTTCAAACAATGTATTACCAGTCTAGGAACACATATGATATTTTCCCTCATACAATATGCTTCAAGATAAGATATTCACTCTGGATGCTTGCAGACTTTAAAAAAAATAAATGGCGCTTTATTTTAAACTGGGCATGTTCCCATGCCAAGACCCACACGTGCCCAAAAGAGGCAGCACATTACTTCACCCCAGCTTGCCCAACATTTGTAAGATCAGGCGCTTTAGTGGGGCTTTTTTGGCACTTTTATTTAATAGCTGATTGAATCAGCTTTAGCTGAAATCACCAAAAAGCCACGCTGAAGCACCTATCTTTACAGATGCTACAGAGCCGGGTTTTAGTAACGCGCTGCTGCTTCCAGTAAGTGGGTTTTTTGTAGGTTTTTTTAACATCTGCCAGCAGCCCTTGATTTTGAAAAGCAGAAGGAAGAAAAAAAGAACTTTTCCTGTACTAAGTAATTAAGTAGCAGCAGCTAAGGAGCCAAGCCTGCTCATTGTTCTGCTCCCTCTGCATTGTGTACAGACTTTTAGTTCCCCTGGTAACCAGCAGACACTTCTCTTACTATATTTCATGCATATAATGCACAGTCCAATTTCCAGCCACTGATTTTTGGAAAAAAGGTGGGTATTATACATGGTACATTTCAATGCCATGCAGCCTGAGATATGAATACTGAATGTATGATTGGATAACCTTAAATTCCTATATGCTTAGAGCACTCAGAGGTATAGTCTGCAAACCCACACATACATATATATATTCAAAATCATTCCATTTCCATGTATGCAAAGCTGAAAGAATCAACTCAACTAAATACAGAGGAATGCAAAGACGCAGAATTAGAATCATACAGTCATAGAAAATTAGGGTTGGAAGGGACCTCAGGAAGTCATCTAGTCCAACCCCCTGCTCAGAGCAGGACCCAACCCCCTGCTCAGAGCAGGACCATCCACAACTACACCACCCCAGCCAAAACTCTGTCTAGCTGGGTTTTGAAAACCTCCAAGGATGGAGCTTCCATCACCTCTCTGGGTAACCTGTTCCAGGGTTTTACTATCCTCCTACTAAGAAAATTATTTCTAATATCTAACCTAAACTTCCCTTGCTGCAACTTGAGACCATTGCTCCTTATTCTGTCATGCCACCACTGAGAACAGTCTAGCTCCATCCTTTCAAACCCCCATTCAGGTAGTTGAAGTCTGCTAATAAGTCCCTTCTCAGTCTCCTCTTCTCTAGCCTAAATAAGCTCAGTTCCCTCAGTCTTTCCTCAGAAATCATGTCTCCCAGCCCCTGAACTATTTTTGTTGCCCTCTGCTGGACTCTCTCCACATCCACATTCTTTCTGTAGTGAGGGGCCCAAAACTGAACATAGTACTCCAGATGTGGCCTCACCAGTGCTGAATAGAGGGGAATAATCACTTCCCTTGACCTACTGGCAACACACCTACCAACACAGCCCAGTATGCTGTTAGCTTTCTTGGCAACAAGGACACACTGCTGGCTCATATTCAGCTTATTGTCCACTGTAACCCCCAGGTCCTTTTCTGCAGAGCTGCTGCCCAGCCAGGCAGCCCCCAGCCTGTACTGGTGCATGGGATTGTTCCATCCTAAGTGCAGGACTTTGCACTGGTCCTTGTTGTACCTCATGAGATTCCTTTTGGCCCAATCATCCAATTTGTCTAAGTCACTCTGAATCCTAGCCCTACCCTCCAGCATATCTACTACTGACCAGAGCTTGGTGTCATCTGCAAACTTGCTGAGGGTGCACTCTGTGCCATCTTCCAGGTCATTGATGAAGACATTGAACAAAACTGGCCCCAGGACCAACCCCTGAGACACTCCACTTGATACCAGCTGCCAACTAGACATTGAGCCATTGATTACTACTCTCTGAGCCTGATGCTCCAGTCAGTTTTCTTACAGTCCATTCACCTGGCCCATACTTCCTTAGCTTGCCTGCAAGAATGCTGAAGGAGACCGTATCAAAAACCTTGTTAAAATCAAGGTACAGGTTTCCCTCGCTTTATGCTGTACATACGTTCCTGAAAAACGGCACATAACTCCAATTCACAGAAAGGGAATCTATTTTACAATATAACAAATAGGGATACTTTCAAGAGCTCAGCTGTACTGGCCCCCAGACCCATTTCTACCACTTTTACAAGACAATTTTGGTACTCAACAACAGCAGACAGTACACACAAGCACAGGGTGGTGGTGAATGTTACCATAATGGGGATGGCAACTACAGAAACACGTGTCACAGACAACGAGAGAGGAGCACAGATCCACACAGGAGACTATATGTTGGTCCATGTCACTCCCATAATGCACTGCACAAAGTAGCTGACTGCAGGCTTCCACCACACTGATCGCATAAAAGTGAATTTACCTCACATATAATGAATATTTGGTATAAAAAGGCTCACAGCATAAGAGTGAATTTGCACATACAAAACCCGCATAAAGTGAAGGAAACCTGTACACCACATTCACCAGTCTCCCTGTGTCCACAGATCCAGTCATCTCATCATAGAAGGCAATCAGGTTGGTCAGGCATGACTTGCCCCTGGTGAATCCATGCTGATTGTTCCTAATCACCTTTTTCTCTCAAAGTGCTTAGAAATGGATCCCCTGAGGATCTGCTCCATGATTTTTCCAGGGACTGAGGTGAGGCTGACTGGTCTGTAGTTCCCTGGATACTCCTTTTTCTCCTTCTTAAATATGAGCACTGTGCCCTTTTCCAATCATCCAGGATCTCTTCTAACTGCCATGAGTTTTCAAAGATGAAGGCCAATGACTCTGCAATTACATTGGCCAACTCCCTCAGCACCCTTGGATGCATCCCATGGACTTGTACATGTCCAGCTTTTCTAGGTAGTCCCTAACCTGTTCTTTCACTACTTAGTTCTGCTCTCCTCCCCCCCAAACTGTGCTGCCCTGTGCAGTAGTCTGGGAGCTGACCTTACCTGTGAAGTCCAAGGCAAAAAAGTAATTGAGCACTTCAGCCTTTTCTGCATCCTCTGTCACAAGGTTGCCTCCCCCATTTTGCAAGGGACCCACACTTTCCCTGATCCTCCTCTTGCTACCAACATACCTGTAAAAACCCTTTTTGTTACCCTTCATATCCTTTACTAACTGCAACTCCAATTACGATTTAACCTTCCTGACTTCATCCCTGCATGCTCGAGCAATGCTCTTATATTCTTCTTTGACCTGGGAAGCAATCCTTCTTCTTCAAAGAACATCCATGGTCAAAGAAGCCAAAGCACTGCTGGCGACACCACCTGCACAGAGGTGTTGATCTGCAGGACGCACCTGCTCCTGCCCAGGCCCTTTCCCTTGACTGGAAGGATTGACAAGAACACAACCTGAGCCCCAAGGCCCATCACCCTTGCACCCAGAGCACTGTAGTCACTTTTGATCTGCTCAGGGTCTCCCCAGGCAGTATCATTGGTGCTCACATGGATGAGCATCATGGGGTAGTAGTCAGAGGGCTGGAGGAGACTCGGTAGTCCCTCTGACCTCTCAGATCCGGGCTCCAGGCAAGCAGCAGACCTCCCAAGACAATGTATCAGGTCAGCAGATGGAGATGGCTCCCTCAATCCCCCGCAGAAGGGAGTCTCCAACCACTAGCACTTGTCACTTCTTGGTGGCAGTCATCTTGATTCTTCCCACCTTGATGAGGTCTGGCCTGTCTTCCTCCACCAATGGAACATGCTCCTCTCTCTCTGCTGCTAGATCTGCATATCTGTTCTCCAGACAAACCACTTCAGGTGGGGGTGAAGATCTCTGCTTGCTGCCACAAGTCACAAGCCTCCAGCTTCCACCCTCATAGATTTAATAGATTTCATAGACATTAGGGCTGGAAGGGACCTCGTAAGATCATCAGGTCCAGCCCCTTGGAAGTCAGCTAGGGTCAAAGGATCCCAGCAAGATAAGCATCCAGAACCTCCTGGGTGTTCAATGTCCTCTCTCTTCTTTAGTGCTGCATCTGGCATTTCTTCCTCCGCAGTCCTGGAGGTCTCCTCCAGCATTGAATTGATGAATGCCTCATGGCAGAGGATGCTTCGGAGTCTCACCACCTCCTCCTGTAGTTCTCTTGCCTGTTCCCTGTGAGACACCACCACGAGGCACCACTCACATGGCAGGCACTCCCTGACCTGGCCATCACAGGAAGGAGCCTGTAAGTCTCAGTCTCCACAGCTCCAAACCTGGACCTGGGTGGTAGCCTCAATGGTGAGCAGTCCTGCCTGGACAGAAACCTCACAGGTGCAAGCAGAGTCAGTGGCTTTGGCATGGTGACATCAAATTCATTGCAATCACATCAACCACAGAAAACTAGGAAAGAGGAAGCATTGGAGTCCTACCTGTTTGCCTCTTTTTCCTGGTCTTCCAATAGGTCCTCTGTGCCCTGGAGTACCATGCTCTCCCTTTGGACCCATTTCTCCCTGGGCAAAGGCAAAAGGGAAAGGAAGTAGGACTTAAGTACATAAATAATGCATTCAGTCAGACAGGCACCTACACATGCACCTACTACACAACAGGGCTGATTCATGCTATTATTGTCCATGAAAGTTGACACAACTCTGTCCTAAAATAATTCCATTGCTGTTATAAAATATGTGTCTAGTACAAGATTATAACTACACATTTAAGAAAATATTTAAGAAATAAATTATCTTAATTTTTAATACAAAATTTCTCTGCAAGGTCCTTTGTGGGAAGAGGAAGCCAGGTGAGGAATTTAAAAGTAGGCTATCAGTCTCAGGGTTTTCCAGACAGTACAACTAACAATCATCTCTCTGCCCCGTAGGAACTCTTCGTATTTGCTGCAAGGAACCACATGTAATAAAATCTCCATCAACAAGAAAGGTGACCAACTCAGTTATCCCTCTCAGAAGCAACCAGTGTTTTCTTAACCTAATTTCCAAGGCAGGATGTGATTATGTCATATATATCAGCCTTCATTTAAGGATTCTGCCTATAAAACAATGTAGAAATCCAGAGGATAAATGTTTGTCTAGTTAATGATTAACAGAGGTATCAAAACTGGTTGGGTTTAGCCCTGCTATGTAACAGAAATGTTAATGAACTTGCAAACAGGAATCCAAAATATTAAAGTGGGGCATGAATATGAGCAAGCAAATATACCTGAAAAGCAAAACTACCAAAACAAAAGCAACACCAGAAAACTCTACTGATTCAAAACCTGAAGTCTTCATCAAAGCTGGAGAGGCTGCAGGATTTGGTCCAATGTATGCCAAATATGGGTCACCTGATTAAAATTAATCTCTCAATTCTTTGTCCCTCTGTAACCAAGAAACAGATTTCTAGGGAAAAGGTGCTACTGAAATCATTCACTGAACCTATGTCGATGCTTGATCACATGTCTGAGGATACGATATAGCATTGCTTACTTACTTTCTGCCCCAGCATCCCAGGGAAGCCCATGTCACCCTGAAACATGAATGATAAAAGTAATCAAAACCATGTTAAGTGATCTAAGAGAAAGCAGTATTAGTTCTGGTTCTGAAGTGATCTAAGCCAGTAAATATAGTGCTTTCTTTTACTGAGCAAAAGCATCCAAGCAATTTATATAGGACCAGTTTCACTATGAAACGTTCACAGGGCCATCTCAGCCAAAAGATCATGAGTAGGGATCTATCTAAGTTGAGACAAAGGGTTTTTCATGGCCTGCTTTGCAGCACACACAGGCAATTTTGCAGGCATTTTGCAATGGCCGTGCCCCTTTCCACTGATTGACAGAGGGTGCTATCACACAGTCTATGGCACTACTGCTTTTTTGCCCCGTCCTTCACACACCACTACTGCTTTTTTTCGGTTGATTTTGCAGGAAATTGTGGCCAATACCCATTATGGTGATTGCAGACAGCACTGTTATTCATGGTTTCCACAAAACTGCGATTTAGGTATGTCCCTAATCATGAGGAATCCCTGGAAAGTCTAGACTGCTGTTCTGGTCAAGGTGACCAGGGCTGTGTGCATCTCATTTGTCAGGTAGCATGGGCCTCAGAGATCTCTAGAATCTGAACACACCACAGTATGCTCATGCTGTTCCTATCAGCCTGATATGGAAGAGAATTATTCACTGGCTAGCTAAAATTTAAATCAGCTGTGAATGTATTTGAAGGCATTCACATGAACTCTGTTTTGTAGCAGTAGGTCTATCGCTGCACAGGGCAAGGGATGATTAGTTACTTTTAAGCCTCTTCCTGACAGCTAGTGTTTCTTGTGGTGAGCACAGAATGTCCCTGGGCTCAGGGATAGATGCCTGCAAATATTTTACTTTGGAGTGCCTGTAAATCCCTTACTGATCATGGCATTTTGGCATTTACTTAGGAGGGATTTGCATTCTGTAGAGAGGGGAATTTAACTTTATTGTAAAAATGCCATGTGGTTAAATCTCAGGGGTTTTCATTGTAATTTAGTATCAATTAGTAATACCATTTTAAGAGGCTTTCAGACTGGATTATGACCACTCAGGTTTAATTTTTAAACCACTGTGAAATCAAAAACGGTACCTTTTCTCCTCTGATGCCTTTGTCACCTCGCTCTCCTCTGGATCCCTGAAGGAAATCATGGGAGAAATAAAGGGTTAATTATTCCCATTTCAAAAACAAACAAAATTTGGTTGTCATGCAACATCAATCAGGACCATGCAGCGTACACTGATCCATATTTGGCAGATAGCAGATTATATCTCTACTTCCCTACTTAAAACTTCCCATACTATTAATTTCTATATTACAGCAGCAATTGAAGTAGAGCTGGTAAGAAAAAAGGGACATGTTTGCAGGAAATTGTTCTTGAAACAGTAAGTCCTTTTTTGATTATAAATATTCTATTCTCAAGGTTTTTTTCAAACCCAGGCTCCAACCAAAGAGAGGAGCCTGCTGTTTAAGGCACTGTATGCCCTGTACTAAGACACACTGGTAAGAGGCACTGTAATAGACTATCTTTGCCACATAGAACTAGCAGTCTAAATCAGGACTCTGAAATTCACCACCCTCCCACCCTGCAAGGCCACAAATGGGCTGCAGGGTCCCTTGTGGGCTGGTTCTTGACTGCAGGGCTCCTTGTAGGCTGGATGTGGCAGCTGGGAGAGCAGCAGCAGCAAACTAAATGCTACCTGCCCTTGCCACACATGCTCAACGGGGCTCCATGCCCTGGATTTCAGCAGTGGGACCTGACCCCACTCAGCCTGCCCCCTGGGACTCCTGCATGCCACACAACTCAGTTCCATGAGTTACTTCCAGCCCGTGGGCCATATATTTGACACCCCTGACTTAAACAGATCAGACAGACAAAGTTCCTCATTTTTGTGGCTGTAGAGCAGAGATGAAATGACTACGCTAATTCAGAAGAGGTAGAAAAAATGAGCCTGTTCTTTGGCATCCCAGGCAAAACCAAAAGACCATCCTATTTCTCAGTATTAGTTTCAGTTATCTTCTTATGTTCATAGACCTTTGCATTTCACTGCATCAGAATTTTCACGTATTCCTGGTCCATAACACATTCCTGCAATTACTTGGTTTCCCTTATTGCTTCCAATTGTTACGTTACTCATGGTATAGTAGTATAGCACTGACCTTTTCTCCTCTAGTTCCAGGGTAACCCTACAAGGGAACAAGAGACATTCTAATGCTTCACATTTTCTAGTTCTTCTGAGAAACAATTCATATCTTGCAGATTTAAACACCAGGAAAAAATTAAAATACAAATGATTAGTCATATCAAATTCTTTGCAGCTTGTAAGAGAACAGAGAAAATGCATACACATGACTATACATGTTAAAAGCAAAATATTTCAGCCTATGAGCCAGCATGAAAAAGCTAGGTAACAAACACACTAATCATGTTTGAAAATGCTTTAAAATTAGAACATCAGAAAGCAAATAGAATTACGGCTGTAATGAAATCTCATTCAGTCTCTACAAGTAATTATTCCAAGCAATATTAGAAATAATTCTCCCCACCTCCTTTTTTATTATCCTACACGACAAACATAAAGTTAAGTCCCTAAAATACATTTTAGTTGGCTTCCAATATGAAGACGACTAGGGTTCTCAGTTTCTTTTCCTTAAGAATATGTATCCAATGACTTTATCTTTTATGCTTCAGCTTTGAGTAAAGTAGTAATTATATAATTTTTTAGTCTTTCCACATTTTGTGTTATAAACTTTCTTATTCAGAAGCCATGTGATAAATAATGATATACACAGTGAACTATTTCCTTTTATCTACTATTACACCCATCAGCAAATGGTTGTAGCAGAGGACTGAAATTATTTGCATAAACTTACAAAAGGTGGGAAAATATTTCAGGTAGTGCTACAGACTCCTTTAGGAACTCCAGTGCTCCAGTGGGATTAGTTCTATGAATTTTGCTTTTTAAATTAACCTTTTTTATCATATTAATTTGCATCAGATCATTAAAATGATCATCTAGGAAAGTAGCCAGTCCCTGCTGTATTGTGTAACCTTTTTAGCTTCAAGGAAAACATCTAATCTTTCTGGCTGTATTTAAAAAAAATCTTTACAAACACTTTCTAATGAATTCACGAGGGAAGCAGCTGTCAGCAGGATGTTAGAAAGTGGTGTCTGAAAATGCAGCAGCTGGGTTAACAAACCTTGAAGCCCATTGGTCCTCTTGTACCTGGTAATCCCATCACACCCAAATCTCCCTTTTCACCCTATGGGGGGTCAATAAAGAGAGTTATTGATGGTGACTCTTGAAAGATGTCATATATTTGAACAGCGGCATGTTCAGTGTTTGTGTTAGATGTATGATGTGCCTGTCTTCTACAACTCTCAAAGCAGTGTTAGTACAGTTAAGTCTAAGTTCTATACTAGCAGCCTATACTGCATAAGTCTCCAGAGGTTGGCTCATGTCTTCTATCATCATCTCCTTGGCCCTGTTTCTCTTCCTATGTGACATGTTTCAGCATTCCCTGACATGTAGGCAATTATCAGTGCATTTTTGATTCCATGATGTTTACTGTTATAACCTAATGTGCCTTACCTACACCACTTCTGTGAGTTGCAATGACTGACGCTGGAGTCTGCTGGGATCTTCTTGATTTCAATTAATATATTAGTGTCCTGATTATGTTGATATTAGGTCTGAGAAATCAATCACCCTGCAGTGTTGCCTGTCAGCTTCTGATTCCTCACAAGGCTTTGTAGCAACTTTTCTGGCTGTTGTCAGCTAAGATATTGACCTTCTGAGAAAAGTAAACCACAGGGTCTGTGCAGAATTGCAGCAGCAGCAGTCCTGGTAAGCAGATTTTTGTCTTTTGTATTTATTTGTTTATTTATTTTTGCTCCCTGAAGAAGGAAGCTGCTTGGCCTTCATAGCCCTAGTGCTGAGCAAGATTTTCTCGCTGGCTGCAGCCTAGGCAAGACTTAATGGAAGGGAAGAGGAGACTTGATGATACTGAATGGAAGAGAAGAGACGCGAAGGACAGTGGAAACCTGGAAGAAGATTAATAGTGAAGGAAAGAGACAGGAGACCTGGAAGTGGAGAAGAGACAGAGAAAACTGTCCAAAGGAGGTCTGACGAAAGAAGACCTGGAAGTATGTCCGTGGGAAAGGAGAGGCACCGATTAAAATAACGGTAATAGTGAAGATGGGATACAAGAAAGGGAAGGGTAACCTACACTAAAAAACTAGGATTTATGAAAGGTAATGGAAAAATGAACCAGGTTTCCATTTTTAAATACATTTTCTCTCTTCACTTCTCATATTGTGGAAGAGCAAGACTTCAGTTCTCATTGCTTTCAGGTGTCATTATTTCCCTGTTCTTGTTCCATATGAAGCACGACCCTTTTATTACTAATGTAGATCAAGCTCAGAAAAGCCTCAATACAAACATTTCCATGTTCAGTAGTATGGGGTTCCTTGTCTAACTTTCATTTATAACCAGTTTTAGAAAGCCTTTATCATCTGCTGTCCACCTATGGCTTGAAATCAGAAACATTCCACTGTCATCATGCAGTCCCTCCTTTAACAAAGAGAAACTGAAGGGCCTGAGATGCTTATAAAAAAATTTTTTTTTTTAATAGTAAACATTACATGCAATGCTTTTGCCTGATTACGTATTGGATTTAATGTATATAGCAATCTTGGAATGAATAAAAACATTTCCTAAAATATAGTGCATATACCTCTACTATAGTGAACAGCCGTGCATAAGGGAGTGCTCAATAGGGGAATACTCTACAGCATTTCTAAAAAGAACAGTAATAAAATAACTACTTTGTTACTGCAAACTCAAAGCCAGTCCTGTTATTTCTTCTGTGCTTTACTATCAATAGTCAGTATCATGAAGACCAGTAATGTTAGCAAACCATGGTGACATATGATGAGCAAAACATTTATTATGACTGACTGGACAAGACTGGATAGTACACAACTGATCAGTGTACATACAAGTATTTGTCCCTGTTCATGAACATCATCCTCATCCTCATGATTATAATGCTTTAGTTACGAACTCTAGAACCAGCTCCTCAGCTGATGTAAATGCATATATTTACACTGGGCATACATGTACAAAGTATACAGTCAAGAATTGCATGCAGTGTAGAAAGAAAAGGATAAACAAATGGTCATAGAAGGGAGAAAAAAGCAGTTCTGATACACTGGTTCTTGTGACATTACGCAGACCTATAATACCATATTTGCTCGAATATAAGATGACCCTGAATATAAGACAAACCCCAATAATTAGATTCTATATATGGAAAATGTATGCATTTATTACAATTTTCCAGGTATAGAATCTAATTATTGAAGATTTGCCTTAAATTTGTTTCCCTCCCACTTATATAGCATGGAAAGTAAATCTGGGAGGTCAGGTAGCCCCCTTGTCCTCTGCCTCTCCCCCAGTATCTTTCCCCTGCAACCCTTTCCACCCCTCCTTACTGTCAAACCCTGCTCTCCCTAAGCACATGGAAGTGAGGAGCAAATTTGAAAACACTGACCTTGAAACAAACATACCTGTAGTAATTTGCATATAGTACCCATAAACTTACTTCATCCAGAATTGATGCATTTTACCTTTTTTGAACCTGCGACAAGTTTTAGCAGAGGTATTCCATAAACACTTTTAAAGCGGCACTTTTGTACCTATGTATATATATTACAAACTGTGTGAGATAGTAGTCCAAAACCAAAAGGCTCATGATTTACTATATGATTCATTGGTCTGGGCCACAGCAGTCAACATTTCAAGCCAGGGTGACCCCACAGCTGAGCACTGCTCAGTATGTGTGTATACTCCAGATACCCCTCATAATAGATCCATCTGCTAATTAGCCCTCATGTATGACTGGAGCCCAGGTGTTCTTGTCTCAGGTCCTGGGATCCTCCAAAAAATTATATGCAGATGATACGCAACCTGCTCTGGCTCCACCTCCTGGAGTATGCGGCCACACTAATAGTATGTGACAGGCTGAAAGAGGGGGTGACAAAGGGATTCTGAGTTAAATGTTTGAGGCTCTGCTTGTTAATGTTTGCCAGATATTTAAGGCTGGTGAAGAAACAGGAACAATTGGAAATGGGAAAGAAAGATGCAGACCAACTGTACGAATGAAGAGGAAGTCGAAATGTATACAACATAGTGGTTCACCATGACTTAAAAAAGAGTCAGCGGTGAGGGGGACTGCACTCAGTGAACACTACCATAAATTTTATTCAGACTAGCATGTTTGCACAACATGGGCCTTATGTTTTATAGTTATGATCAGTGTTGGCTGCATTTAATCATCTTCATAGTTGGTTTCCATTACCAAGCACATGCTGCTTTTGGCAGCAGTTTAGTGATAGGCAATATATTTTATGAGGTTTTCTGATATGCAAATATAAGACAACAGGGAAAAAACCTCATCTTGTACTCAAGTAAATATGGTAAATGGTAAGTCTCCTTTTAATTTGATTTGGCAGTTGAACCTGTTATAATTCCTGAAGACCTTGAAAATTTTGCCCCGTGCACTATACACACTCAATGTGGTAAAAGTGTTTAAATCTTACCTTAGGTCCCATTGGCCCAGGCCATCCAATTGGTCCTGGCATTCCAGGGACACCTGGAGGACCTGGTCTACCCTTAAAAGGAAATGATCGAGTATTGTATTATGATGGATTTAACATTGTTCCACCACAAAAAGCTCCATCACATAGAAGACGCATGAAAAAGAGTTTTCTGAGACCAATACATTCTCTTCCAGAAAGATAACTGAAGGTGATTCATTATTTTGACATTTTTTAATTCAAAAGGCAATATGCTTTCTATTGATCCTCATGGGGGGAAAGCTTGGACTCTCAGAAACACAGAGATATGCTGATTCTGATCGGCAGATCAGCAATAGAAGAAGTCTATATGCAATGTAAAGGGTTTATGCTTAAAAGCAGGATTAAATTCTTCTCTCAGTTCAGTGTAAGTTAGAAGTAACTCCTTGTAGTTACATCAATATTGTATGCACTCAATATACTGTGAAAATAGAATCGGACATTATATTCACTAACATGCATCCCTATAGATTCCTTTAACTTTTTTTTCAAATATTAGTCTAATAAATATTATGAGTAATAATTATTCTCCTCCTTCCTAAGAGCAGTAGAACCATCTCCTCAGCTGGTATAAATCAAGATAACTCCACTGATTTATGAGGAGTTGGCTTTAGACAACTGGTAAAGACAGCAGGGGTGAAAAGTTACCCTCAAAATAAACGAGTCAACTTTCATAGAAATCAATAGAAGTTGTACCATGAATTTGGACCCATTTCTCTTTGGTACCTGTTTTTTTTAAATCAGAAGAGTAAGCATTCCAGTGTCTAAGATGCTCAGCCCCATTTTCATGTACGCCGACAAATGACTATCTCTGAAGTAGTACTGTTCTGGATACTCAGATCTACATAGGTAATTTATCTCTCCTCTGTTTGTCATTTGCAATCTAAATAAATAATAAGCATAATTAGCTCATATGTTCACATGGTTTTGAATGAATTTGAATTGCTGATTTGTGTTTAGTGTTAAAATGTTATCTCTTTTTCTGGTGACTGACTTATCCTCTGCATAGCTCTGATTTCATCCTGCAGAGGATCTTTTGGCTTCTTTTGAAAATTAATTACATTAAATGAAAGCACTTAGCCACAGATATGAAATATTTCGTAACAAGACACAGGGGCACATTCTTTTGGCAATACATCATGGCTCACATGTCATCAACTATGAGAGTGTAGTCAGCATATTGTGTGGTGCCAGAACCCCCCAACTGTAGTTCTTAATGATTATTTCTTTTTCACTGTTACATTCATTTAATTGAGCACAGGTCTTACAGAGTGGCTGACTTAGACTTGCATTCTACTGTAGATCAGTTAGGATTTTATTTTTGATATGGAAGGGTTTTTTTATGCTTAGGTCCTAAAAACTACTCTCACTGGATATAAAGATCTAGTTGAGGCTACCCTCCACTCTTTTTTAACACATTACAGAGACGTATATCTTACCATCCATTTTTATGTAGTATACGAAAGGACTCCAACAGGATTTCAGTGCATGGAACGATGGCAGGGCATGACCCAAATTTCCATACTGCACAGGTCTGCTACCAGTGTAGGCATGGGCACAGGTTAGCCTCCAGCTTTATTTAAATAGATTTTATTTAGCTATTTGTTGGGTTTATTCCTAACAGCTGCTGCATAGCAATTATAATATCGGTGCCTAAGAAAGCATTGTAGTTCATACCTTTCTTCCTGGTCTGCCAATCTCCCCCTGTCAATGAAACAAACATATTAGGAGTGCAGATGCCACATGAACCATAGCAGATACATTTTGTGTTGGATGCATCTGTGTGTCCATGACTTTGTTTTACAAGCTAAACTGGGCAGGATGCACGTAACAGAAAAATGGCCTCCTCACTGAGGGCATAGGCCCCAGTTGAACAGTCTTTTCTTATGCAGTAAAGCATCTAAACATGTTTACCTTTAGGTAACTCTTTCAATGTCTTTTTGAATATGTATGGATTTAAGTAGGCACTTATAGGCATTTTGCTAAGCCACAAAGTTTAATATACAAACAGAATGGTCTATCCAAATTGACATACATATTAGTATGCTGCATATGGTGGCTGTTTCCCATTCCCTCCCATGTGGTATGATTTTCCCAAGTTACTACACAACAGTGGTTCATTGAATCTAAATGGGACCTGTGCTCCTCAGCTGCTTAAGGGCTTTGGAAAATCCCATCCACCAACCAGCTTTTCCTAAAATATTTTGTAAATATTGAAAACAGTATTATGAAAAGCTGTATAGCATATCCACAATGAGACAGAATATTTACAGATGAAACTTCAAATCACAGCCTGGGAACTGATCTAGTGCTTCCAACTATGGCTAAAGTAAACCCCTGCCTACCCAAAAAGCATCCCTCACGTAAAAACAAGATCCAAAGCACTCATCCTTTCCACAGCACACACGCACCAAACGTTGAAACATCTACTTACTTTTTCTCCTTTTGGTCCCATTATACCAGGAATTCCTTGGGGGCCCTAGGCAGAACGTTGAAAGATGTAAAATTATATTTAGAATGTATATATCGCAATTGGCTGTTTCCTTTCCTTTTTGCTCTGCCCAATTTGTCAATATATATTTGCTCATATATTAACAGAGCAGTGCACAACCTTTTTGCCCTGTGGGCAGGATGGGCAATGTTCAGTCTGTGCAGGGGACAGATGTAGCTGGAGGGCCTGATCCAGCATGCAGAGGGTATCAGGCAGCAGCTTGGCCCTGATCCAGCTATGAAGGGGGAGGGGCTGTTGCCCAGCCCGAACACAGCCCTATGGGGAGAGGGGGAATTGCTCAGACCCAGTCCAGTATGGCAGAGAGGAAGGGGCTTGGTCTAACCCTGATCCAGCTACAAAGGGGAGGGGTGCATGGCCTTGCCCCAGTCAAGCTCTGCAGGCCTTGGGAATTTGGCCACAGGGGAGAAGTGGCAATATTAATTGCCGCTGCTCCCCCACCACCAAATTTCCTGACCCATGGGGAGTGCTGTGGGCCAGATGCTATGGCTCTGTGGGCCAGATTTGGATATGGGCTAGGGATTGAGCACCCCTGTTCACAGAGCGACGGCACAGGATGAGGGAGATAATTATTTTCCTTTCTGAATACTACTAAACCAGGTTGGATTTTGAACCCCGAGTCAGAAAAATTCTGAAAAACAAAGTTTGGACTTTAGCATGTAGCAGATGGCAGGTATACAAAAATAAGGATAAAGGATCTCATAAGCCTGTATAGTAAGAGACACTAACCCCAGAGCATAAATTATTAACTTCAGTGCCCATGCGTCTCATATAAAGTCTGTACAATCCAAAATGCAATGTAAACTAAACATAATGCTGAATTAATTGGATTCTATCTTGATTTGCAAACCACTGTAAGTTACACCATTGAAAGCAATGAAGTCATTATTACATAGAAACAATGGAGTAATTTTAGATTTACAGTGCTGTAACTCAGATTCTAAATTGGCCACCCATGTGTAGATCTGAGGTAAAATGAAAAAGTAAAACTCAGCTCCAGCCCTGCAGAAAGCCATTTTGTTTGACTCATATCAAGGTCATGCAAGTTGCAAAGAAAAAAAAAGTTTTGGAACTACCACCTTAGCGGGGTTTTTTTACTAGTATTTCCTTTTCGTGTGCCAGCAGCTGAAATGATACTGCCCAGAGAATTTCCACTCTGAGCTTTGGAGCCATGAGCCCCTTATAAAATACATTCCTGTGGTTTATAATTAAAAAAGCCAGGGGACATGCTACTCAGTTTCTCCTGCATATGATCTTGATAAGACCTGCTGGACAAATAGTTTTCACGTGTCTTTGGAAAAAAGAAAATAATCAGAAAACATTGCTGTATTAACACTCTTTTGTCACTGGACTTTGGAGATCATCTCATTCCTCATTACTGCTCTTTTAGTTAAATAAAGAATTGATATCAAGAGGATAACAATTTGAATCTTTACAGACTCTGTTGTTAGACAAACAGACATTGTTGTGTTTCATATATATTACCACTTCATAAATCCTCTGTGTCATATATAACAGCAGACATAAAACACTGCTGAATGCAGTGCAGGAGCACCAGGATCTTCTCCACATCACTAATCTTTACACCCCATTCACAAAATCTGCCTGCCTTACCACCGCTTTCAGCAAAGATATGACAGGAGGATACCATAACATGGTCTCATACTGTAAGACTTGATTACTTTTACAATATGTATTACAGAATATTTACTAGTATATTATGAAGTGGTAATTGTCACACTCTTGAACAAAGCTCATATTTCAATGTGCTCTCTTTGCTTTAAAAATTCTGTTTGGGAACTTTTCAAATTTGTAATTTTCAGTAATCCCTAGTAAGTCTCCTAAGGCACTACCTGTCTATCATATCATGCCCACTGCTTCCCATTCTACCACCTTCCCAAAATACTCAGAACAGTTCTCTAGAGCAGAGGTGACAAACTCATCTGGACCCTTAGTGGACTGGGCAGTGTGTGGGTCAACTCAGACCTGGGACAGCACTGGGGGCCGGATGATGGGGCACAGGCCACATCTTTGACACCTCTGCTCTAGAGAGACATTGGGTAGACAGATAGATAGATTATGTAGCTGAACTTCCAGCTGAACATTTTTGTCTAGTTCCTACTATTTCTGGTTGGCAAACAGCTTTATGGACAGAGAAATAGATATATTAGCATATTAATTCCTAGAGCTCTTGATCTTCCGGTAGAAAACAGCAGATATCAATATAAAAAAAACTAATCAAAATAAATTGTAGAATTGAAATATTGGGATTTAAATTGGTGTTATATGATTCAAGGTTTTACACTGGTTTAAAGCAGATGAAAACGGAGCGTTAACATGAGATCTTGGAGGATATAAGGCAGGGGTCAGCAACCCCTGGCACTTGTGCCGAGCACGGCATGTGAGGCCATTTTGCTTGGCATGCCACTGCCAGCCTGGGCTCTAGGCAGCTGCTGCCAGCCACGAAGCCCGGGCTGCTCCCAGCAGGTGGGTGACGGCTGCAAGCCCTGCTGCAAGCAGCCTGGGCTTTGTGGTTGGCAGCAGCTACACAGAGACTGGGCCAGTTGCAACCAGGAGGCTGCAAACATCTGCTCCGGGCTCTGGTATCACCTCCATACCAGCAGGTGCGCGCACGCCTCGGAGCAGACAGTGTGGGAGGAGCCTGAGGCAGTGCAACCCTGGCCTCTTCCCCGCTGCCGGCACATTGCTGATGACTGGGCTCTGGAGCCCAGCACAGCTGTTTGTAGCCAGCCTGGGGCATCTCCAGCAGGCAGTGGGCAGGCTGCAAACAGCTGTGCCAGGCTCCATGCTGGTGGCAACTGCATGTGCATTTCAGAGCGGACAGCAGGAGGGCTGTGCTGCCTCAGGCCCTATATCCCCACCGTTCGCTCCAAGGAGTGCGTGAACCTGCCGGTATGGAGCTGATGCCGGAGCCCAGAGCATCTGTTTGCAGCCTCCCGCCTGCAGCCAGCCCAGGCTCTGGTAGCTGCTGCCAACCATGGAGCCTGGGCTGCTTGCAGCAGGGCTTGCAGTTGAGCCCACCCGAGTCCCACCTGTTCCGAGCCCAGCCCTGTCCCAGCCCCACACCAGGATGAGGCTGGCGCTGCCCCTTGCCAGGAGCACTGCACCTTTTGCAGGCTTAGCTGTGCGGGGTGGGTGGGTGGTTGAGCTGATGGGCAGGCTCCAGGCCAGGGTCTTGGCCAGCTGCAGCTCCCCAGGGAAGCACAGGGGCTCTGGCGGCACCAGGGCATTGTTGGGTTGGACTCTGTTAGTGGTCCAGGAGCCTGGCTCCATGAGCCTGCGCATCTGGTTCTGTATGTTTGTCTGCCTCTGTCTGGTTCTGTGCATCTGTGTGCGCACACATGTCTGGTTCTGTATGTATGTGTGCACATGTGTCTATTCTGAGTGTGTTCTGGTTCTCTGTGTGCATGTGCATGTATCTGGTTCTCTCTCTGCTCTCCTTTTTCTTTCTCTTTCTCTCTCTCTCTCTCATTGCAACATGCTCAACCAACAAGGAATACACAACAACAAAGGCAACATTTATGATTATTAAATATACTAATATGCACTGTGTCCTGGCAAGTACCCCCTCACACCCTGCCCTCATTTTGTTTTTCTGGCATGACAGCACTCTGGCACCTTCCAAGGTAGACGTGCTTTTTTTTGGCACTCCAGCCAAAAAACGTTGCCTACCCCTGATATAAGGCATAGGCAGGGGAGATGACAAGTATTATTTATACAAAATAAGAAATTTAAACTGAAGTATTAGATATTGTTAGAAGGTGAAGGCCATTTCCAAAAGGGCCGATCATTTTATAAGGAACACCGAAGGGTGTGATATGGTTTAGTCAAAGATGCAGTCATGAACAACAAGTGCCCTCGGTGGCTGGGGGGGCACGGCAGCAGCGGTAGCATGGCGGCAGTAGCACGGTGTCAGTAGGCGGGAGCTCCTGCAGACACCGCCGGTCGTGTCAGAGGCGGGGCCAGCAGCGATTGCTCGCAGGCACTGCCAACAATGTCATTGGTGCCTTTTTGTAAGGGGAGCACTGCTACACTCAGGGGGGGCACATGCATGCACCCCCTACACACTGCTTCTAGATGCAGTACTCACCTGGGGGCCAGGAGGCCCTAAGGGGCAATCAGATTCTGGTACACATGAAGCTTGTGTTATCTGAAGTTCTTGACCAAAGTTTTTCAAATCAAGGTCCAGCTGTTTCTAAATCAAAATAAATATATACCCATACATGCATCAGTACACATCATGCAGGGAGACACAAACAATCAGCAACTCTATGGGCCTGTAGAGAATTTATATGACTCAGTTACAAGGAGGCTTGTGGTTTATCAGTTTTCTTAACAAATACTTAATAATTATCACCCTAACCCTTTTCATTATCCCTCATTATCTTCCCTTCCACTAGAGCTCTCATATCTGTATTTCAGCACCACTTCATTGTCCTTCTAAGACAGGGTAGGATCCAAATCTATTCTTAAACTTGATTTTGTTCCCTGCAGGCAAATTTATGGATAGCAGCACCTCTACAGAAATAGCTTCTTTGCTCTAATAATACAAACTATATTAGATAGTGTTAAAGACTGAGGGAACTTCAGTCTAATGATACTTAACTAGTGGAGAGTCATTCATTACAGGCCAGATCCAACTCCTTTTCAAGTCAGTGAAATGTCTGTCAGTGACTGAAGGGAATGTTGGATCAGGTCCTAGATGAACAGAGGTTGTAATCATGTTAGTGCCCAGCACAGAATCTGCTACATTAACACATGAATAAGGAAACCTAGAGATTCAGTCACAAAATCTTAAATTTAGTATTAGAGCTGGTTTCCCACTACTTGCATTAGTAAACTGCCTGGTGGCATAAGAAAATTGATACTGAAAAGAAGAAGAAAGATCCAGAATAATGGGATTAACAAAACTAGCCTTTGATTCAAAAACTGAATATCCATTACTCATCTGAGTATTCAGTACAGAAAATATGCTGTATTCCCATGGAAAATCCCACATTGTAGAATTTGGTGCCAATGAGGCTCATATCATTTAATGAGTCTTATATCAATATAGTGATTAGCTTGCTTTATAGAATTATTTAATAGAAAGAATAAAGGCACTCTTCAGGCATTCTCAACTACAGTTGAGTTTGACTAGTAATTTTTGAAGTACTACAGCTAAGAAATAATAATTGGCATTAATAACATAATTTCATAACATAACATAAAATAAAATAATCTTCCTAGGACATCAAAGAAAAATTAATTAGGCGTGTAGCATTACAAAGAGAAATTAAAGAGAGATCAACAGTAAAATTCTCTCTTGGGTACAGAATGTATTGGAACCAAGGGATGTTTGTGGTAAATATAAATATATAGGTACTTAAGCATACACATGCTATCTATATGTGTATATACTGATATCAAAAGCATAATGATTTGATTCTTTACACATTATTTATATTTGTGTGTGTATGTGTTTGTATTCATATATACACACACATATACACTATATATAAAAATAGATTCTATAATCAAATCATTACCCTCTTGATATCAATATGGATATGTGTATATAGTCTATGTGCATGTACATACACTCACATACTTTATATATTATATACACACATGCATGCATATATGTACACACATGGGATGGATTAACTATGCACATACACAGACAACTGAAAATGAGGAATTCCATATTAAGTACATCCTCTGAAGAGCCACAGCTTTTGAATAAAGGAATAAGGGAGATGGGACTGGAATTCAGAATTAAGGCTAATGGAAAGGTAATCGGGAGAACACTATGAGTTAGTCAAGTTATTGACAATATGAGGACAAATTTGTCTCTGGTACTTAAATCCATAGCCAAAAACAAGTTCAAAGTTGGGTTGTGCAGTGTGTGGGTCAAGCTAGGGTGCTGTGCTAGGAGTAGGTACGGCATGAGAATTTCTACAGGCAGTGGTCACTGATGTGGCTAGCAACACATTCAGCTGCCTTTGAATACCCAGCCCAACCATCAGTTACCTACTGACAGCTGTGTTGACTGAAGGGCAGCTGCACAAGTGCAGAGCAGGGCTCAAACTCATGTCTGTGGAGCCACAGTAAGAGACCTTCATCAATCTCTCATCACATCCCACACTTAAATCTGAGGACTCACATCCAGATAATATGAGCTTGAATTAATATCTATACAAACCTGTTATACTTGCTGCAGCCTTGTTATGTAGCAAGATGGGACTGCTGTATTATAAACAACCAGGCACTGCTAAGTAAAGATATACTAGTATTTTTTTTAAAATAGTGGAGTCAAGAAAAATGCACCCACGTACTACTTACAGGATTCCAGCTGTGCTTGAAATATGGTGGTGGAAATAATGGTGGTGGGGGAGGAGCAAGGAAACAGCATGCTCTCTTATTCATTTGTTTCTTCTGCTCCAAGCAAGGAAGGTCTGTTCAAAAGAAATGCTCGTTCATTAACTACAGTGGAAGTACAGCTAGATAAAACAATGCCTGAGGCTCTTAAAGAATAAAATTCATCTTATTTACACAAGCCTCCTATAAGACCCTGGATCCATCTTAAGGTCTTGTTTTAGCCTAACATTTGAGCACATGTAGAATTTGCGCATTTAAGTCCTACTAGTTAAATAAGACTACTGAAAAAGTTTTCCATAATTATCAGCTCTTCACTGAAACTAGGCCTAAACCCTTAACATGGCAATTAAATGAAATTACTGCAGAAAAGTTCAAGGCAGCAATTAGAGAATACCAAATATTCACAGCGATAAAATATTAGCACAAGCCAAATGATATTTGGTAGATAAATATTAAGTCCTGGAACTGATGAAACTCAGTTCACCAGGAACTGATCAGGAGGACCTCTGACACCCACTGAAGAGGGATGCTCCTCCTTTGCTGCCTATGGGGTCCTCTCTCTGTGTAGAGGAGGGAATGAGAAGTCCATGTACTCCACAAGACAGGGAAAAAGAAACACCAGCTCTCCACCTTCCTGGAGGAAAGGCAACTGAAGTACCATTCTGAGCCTGAGAAGAAGGAACAGAGATTTCCATGACCTCATCTGGTGTATCTAGCCATCCTCCCTTCTTCCTCCTTATATGCTCCAGCTCTTCTCTACTGCTACCTAGAGCCAGAGGTGTAGCACGACAGCTTTGCATCCTGGGGTGTGGCTGTGCATGGGCCAGCACTGGCTGCTGCAGTACTGATGGCTGTGGTGTGTCCAGTTGCTGCTCTACAATGGGTGCCCAGTTTACCTCTCCTCCCTCTCCTCAGTTATACTTCTGCCCAGACCTCTAATCTGTGAGACAGATCCAGGAATCTCTCACTGTGATGGCCCCCATCCCTGTTTGTAAATAATGGCCATCCAGCTGTCTTTCCTGCACTCCAGTCTTACAAGAGTGACTGACTGGGTCCACTTCTTCCCAATCCATGGGAAGGTCCTCAGGGAGAAGAGTCATTGTTCATCCCCTTTATTCTGGAGAAGCAGTAGGCTCTGGAGCCCGATTTGAACATGGGGTCTGAAATGCTCCAGAAGGCACCAAGCTATAAATAATAAACTCTGTTTCCCGTGTTTCTTCTGGTTAATATGTAGTTCTGTCAAAGGCATCTCATCCCTCAAGTTCAGTCCAGTGTTGGAGAGGTACAGATCCTGCTCTATTCCTGCAGAAAGGGGGAAGGGGATAGGCAGGCAGCATGCTACTTGAAACCCTCTCCAGGAACTAGTGGAGGGAAACTGGCACCATTTTGGTCCCCAAAAATTGGGAAATGGGGACAAGAGGCACTTGGCCACCACTAACGATATCAGAGGGGAAGCACGAGTCATTGGGCTACCCACCTTGAAAACATTTTAAGGAAGTGGTAGCAGGGAAACCTGGGACTTATCAGAAAAAAGGGGATTCCATGTTTTTTTTTCTTGAGACGAGAAGGGTTAGGGTAGAAATTTGTAGGGGTGCACCAGTAGAGATTGTTTGGGCCAATATTGATGGCCGATTTTTAAGGAGGCATATCAGCAGATACTGATCCACTTTCAGATATGCAGCCCAGCAGCTGGAAGAGCAATGTACAGCTGGTAAGTCTGTTACTGGGGAAGGGAGAGGGTGTTGTTGCGGGGCAGATCAAGACCCTGTGATGAGGGAAGGAGTTGGGCCGGGACATGGGATGGAGCCACAGCTTGTCCAAGGAGTGCAGGGGGGAAGGGGGGGGGAAGGTGTTTCCTGCC